TAAATAAAATTTATTTGAACATATTTTGAAATTAACATCTAGAAAATATAAAAGTGGTTACTAATTATTTATTATAATATTTTATATGTGTTGCAGGTCCATTACATATCACTGAACGTGGCTGATATTGATATTAGTGGTAATTTAGTTAATTAGGTATATTATTGTTCATATTCACTTCTTATGTATATCTAGTGGAATCTCTCTCTCTCTCTCTTTCTGTAATTGATTATTTTATAATCACTTAATGCTTACTTTTCCAATCATTTACAATGTATATATTTATAAATCTTTTGTGAACCACATGTTTAATGTAAATTGGTAAATGGTGAATTATGTGTTATTATGAACTCTTGATATAAAGATTATTTATTAATGATGAGATGAAGATTTAATAAAGTGAGGAGTGCTTGAGGCTACCGTATAAAAATATGGTTGTTGCATCAAATATCGTGATAGCTTTAAAAAATAAAATTATTGAAAAGAATGAATTTTGTGTCTTAATTTTTAATATAGAATGATATTATTTAAGAAGTTGTTATCTATTACTAGTTTTATTTTAAATTACTAAATATTTATTAAGTTATGCTATAATGATTTACTTATAATATTTTTAACTTTTATAGTAATAATTATTCAATTATAGATACTTCCAACTTTAATATTGGTAAATATTATATAGTTATAAGAAAGAAATAAATTTAAATTAATATTTTTATTTCTAACTTTAATGTCAGTGAATAAACTAATAAAAAAAGTTTATTTTTAATATATATACATATTTTTTTTTATTTTTTTTATATAGTTATAAAAGAAAAATAAATAAAAATAATATAAATTTAAATTAATATTTTTATTTATAACTTTAGCATTGATGAATAAATCAAATAAATTTTTTTAATTATATATATATATATTAATATTATTTTTTGAGGGCTGGACCTAAGTGATTCAGCTGGTCATACGCCTAAACCACTAACCCGGCACTCCTGCTAACAATGAACAGGTGAATTATAATTCACAGCTACTGTAGCTGTGAGTTAATGCAAAGAGGAGAAGAAGAGACTTACCTGGAGACGAAGCCGAATGCACTGGTGTGCTGATTGATCGGATGCTTTATCCTCTGTGTTGTTTGTCCCCGTGTTGTCCGTTCGTCCCTGGCACCTTTCCTTGTTCCTCCTGTGTTTTCGTTCTTCTTCCTCAGTTCACTCTGTGTTATGCTTGTGACCCCGTCTCTGGTTTGCGTTCTTTCCCCTGCCTGGTTTCTTCTTTGTTCTATGTCCCTGTGTTTGTGTTTCTCCCCTCTGTTTTTTTTTCCAGCTCCCCCTTGTGTTTATGGTCTCTTCTCTTCGTGTCTTTAGTCCAGTCCCCTGCTCGTTCGTCTCCCTTTTTTTTTTTCTCCGTCTTCCTCTGTATATATTTTTTTTGCTCTCTGATTTTTTTTGCCCTGTTTTCTTCCCTGGTTCTCCTTTTCTTTCGGTTCGTGCTCTGCCCCTGTGTTATTCGTTCTTCCCCCTCTCCCCTGGTTCGTGGCCTTCTCTGGCCTTTATGAAGCCAGAGAATGGCCTCTGTTTGTGCGTCCGTTCTCCAGAAATGGGGCACGTTCGCTTCTATCTTTGAGAAGAGTCAGGATTGTTGGCCTTGATATCCCGAGAGGGGGTTGTGTGCAGCTGTAGATTCTCTGCATAACAGGTCCCTGGGATGAGGTATAAGGCGATAAGCAGTGGTTCAAAACGGCGACGTTTGCATCTGGAAATGACTATTTTCAACTTGGCCCCTAAACTTATGAAATTTATCAATTGGGTCCCTGGTTTCATTAATTAAACTAATTCCAAGCTCACTTAAGTTCCCAAACTTATCAATTCTTCAATTAAGCTTTTTAATTTGATTAATGAAACTACTTTTAAGTTTAATTAAGTCCTCAAACTTTCAATTATGTTGCTTTAGCAGAAATTTTAATTTATTCTTCATTTATTTTATTTTTTTCACATATATTTTTTTGCTTTGATAAAAATAAGATAAAATAAAAATAATTAAAATATAGGTTACAACAATGATAATGCCTTGTATTTAGGTTATAGTGAGATAAAATTTTGTATTGAGCTCTGCATAGAAAAAATTCTGTTGAAATTTTATAAAATTTGTTAAAACATATGGTTAGTCCGATGTAAAAATAATATGAAAGATGACATATTTGATATTGTTCAAGACCAGAAATTATAGAATGAAAAATCTAGTGTGATTACCGTTGCTTCAAATTCATTCTTTGATGCTTATTTAATAATGCTTACACCAAGCACCCAAGGCATTGGCCCAGCGGTGGTAGGCGTCTTGCGCCTTCCGCTGCTATGGGTTCGAGCCTTGGAGTTGCATGCTTGTCAGCCCCGCGCTGCCTTTCCTGCCTGCTGGGTTTGCAGGGTGTTCAGTAGGCCGTGAGGATTAGTCGTGGTGCGCGTAAGCTGGCCCGAACACCCCACGTTAATCAAAAAACAAAAAAAAATAATGCTTACACCAAGTACAATAAAGTTGATAATCATTTCATACGAGAAAAAATAATTAATAAAGATATTTTGGTTTGCCATATTTCCATAGAAGATCAACAGCTAGTTGGTGTCTTTATAAGGGACAAACATCGCCGCACTTCACACTTTTGCGTTCCAAATTAAAGGTGTTTGATCTCCCTATTAATTGATGGGGTGTTATTGTATCTGTTTCTGCACCTATATAGTATCTTGATGCTGACTCTCCTCAACAACCAAGTGAAAAATCTGCTTTAATTATCCAAAAAAATATACAGTTCAATCGTGTAAATCTATACAGTTAGCTCTCTATATTCAATATTTTATCTCCTTGGATTACTCCCATTTATTTTGATCAATATAACATTACATTTCATGCTGGCGAAACCTCTTTTTTAATCTATCTTTCACAGTATTTACCCTCATGCCTCGTCCTGTGAACTGAGAAACACGACGACAATTGCTTGGTTGGGATTGGGAGTGGAAATATTGGAAATAGCATCAGGATAAGTTTCATGTAATTGGGCTAAACATTATTTAAATAATGGCCATTTAACATTACACTGTCGAGCTTGCCGGGATAATAAATAATAAGCTTAAAAGCTGATGGGACAAAACCTAACCAGGGATGCAATGCAACAGAGACAATAACACTAGCTTCTTGGTTTCTGCTATATCTGAGATCATTTGGAGCATTCACTGCATGTGCTTGTCTACTCTTAATTAGGTCCAGAAAGAGAAAGGTACACTGCAAGACACAAAGCAAGCAAAACCGTAAGCTGAGAGGATTCTCCTTGTTTTGCAGGGGAAAAAAAAGGTTTACGCGCTGGAGAGCTAGGATCTCCCTGTTCTGTGGACTGTAGTTTTCTTGACCGTTGACTCTTTCTTGAGGTGGATCCCATCTTCTCCTATCTGACAACTTTTTTTTTTGGTAGATGGTTTCCTTTTGCGAATTTGATTAACTTCATGCGTTTTAGGATTGTGTTTGAGAGAGAGAAAACTATGGTTATACACCAGCGCTTATGGTGTGTTTGGTATGATAGATAGAATGAGAGGGGTGAAACTATTCTTTAATGATCTGATGTATGAAATGTATAAATCATCCTTTCACACCAAGAATCCTTCATAACAAATATCAACCTTGCCTCTCATGTACAAGGCAACAATCTCTACCCATTGATCAACAAGTATGAAATGTATTTTAAAAAATCTCCACCCACGAGGATTATCCCTAGAAAAAATAGGCAGTTCTACCCTTGGCAATATTGTCCTACTGCCTTGTTGAATTCCTAGAACATCTCCTCTATTGCTACTATGGTGAAAGGAGTTGTTTCCTTCCACAGTGGCTCCTTCCTTCTTTCCTTCCATGCATACCATCCAAATTAGCCTTGAAGGAATTCAAAGTTGACAGCATTGTGTCCCATTGTAATTTCAGTTGTTCCACCTTCTTGCACAATTCATCTCCTTGCACCTTTATTTCTATTCGGATCTCCTAGCTATATTTTCGTTGATACATTTATTGAGCTCTTTTAGAGCTCTTAGTCTGTTATTGTCTACCATGGTGGGTTAAAAGTGTTCATGTGGATCTTCTTTGAGTTTGAACCCAAATTATGAAGGAAGGCCTTGACAATGGAATTGATAGAAAAGAAAGATTGAGAGATAGGTAAGTAGAGAGAAGAAGCTCTGCAATTTTTTCAGAAAAGGAATTCTCATCAATTACTTGCTTAGCACATTTTCTACATCATATATTTATACTAGCACAACTGTATTTAATCTTTGTTAGAAACTAACCTATCTCTAATTAATTCTTAACAGAATCAACTAACTATTACACATAAATGGATTATTATTTCTCCTCTTGTTAAATGCTTGAAGACTGTTGCTGCTACCATTGCTAATGTTGATCCTTAGCCGCTACTATTGCTTTCTTCTTGCTTATGTAACGAAGTTTTTTATAGTAAGTATTTGTTATTGAAAATCATAAACGTATTGAGAGCGGATAATGTTAATTATAGGAATTCTGCACCAATTTTGCATAGCAGATAGGAGAATGTAAACTTCTCCAGGTGGAGCTAATTTCCGTCAATCAATCATCAGAAATTTAAGCGGCATAAGAAGTACAAAGGTGTCGTATTGGAGCAATGGATTTCAATCATAGTTGAGAGAGATAGCTTGGACTTCTTGTTCAATTCGAAGAGAACAAAAGAGACAATAATTTTCATTCCTGTGGACGATAGATAAATTTTAATACAACGAATCCAAGAATTAATCAAATTCAAATCATTTGTCCTCTTTGATAAACACAGATTAAAAGATTTTTTCTCCCAGATTTCAGATTAAACAAGACAGTACTGGTGGTAGTAGGGAATGGACATCTCATTTTCCTGAACATATTGGTTGATGGGACCCCTAATATGTATGGACTCGGCTAGAATGATCATGCAGATGCCAAAAGAGCAAAAACGTTTCTGCTAGTTTCTAATTCTGCAGTTGTGGAGCCAAAAGCACATGCATATTGAACATGCTACCAGTCAAACAAGCAAGTCTACAAATCCCCAACATGTTTCTTTCAAGGGAAAGAGCAAAATAATGATCAAAGGAAGCAAAAGACAGGAATCCTCTGGTGGCCCTACATTATTAATCCCACAACTTCAGAACGAACAAAAAAAAAAAAAACCCTTCCCCCGGGCACCGTTTCATCATTTGAGGCAAGAAAGGCATTGATGACCCACGAACAAGTACTGTTTTCGTCATATTACAAAGATCCATTATTGAGACTTCAATCATCTGCAAAACATAAGTATCCTGTTATATGAAGACAAATAATAATAATAATAATAAGGTACAAGAAGCTAGAGTAACACAAATTAAATTCGTTTACTATATTATTGAGATGATATAATTATTACCAGAAGTGCGAGGTCTTGAACTGGATGCAAGATCAAGCCAAGAGTCTGCGTCCTTCGGTTCCCACTCATCAAAGAAATGGTGCAATGGCTTCAGGGTTTCAGTTTCTTTCTCCAACTTGATTGACCTTGTTGCTGATGACTTGATAATATCAGTGCCCAAAACAAAACAGTGCTGCCCTGGTTGTTGCTGCTCTTCTTTAGAAGTATCAGCAAAGGTTTGAAACTGTGACAGTGAGAAACCTTTGTAGGAACTCATTGCCAATTGGTTATATGAATCTTGAAGGCCTCTTGCACTCCCTAAACCATTTGGAAAGAAAGCTCTCTCATCCACATCTTCCCTCATTCCATGATAATACCTTACAATTCATGCAAAAAAAAAAAAAAACTTAAGCCATCATGAAAACAGAGAAATCAAAATATGCATTAGATTTGTTTCCTGAACTTTTACACACCTGTGCTCTTTGTCAACTTGAGGAGAAGATCCAGACTCCAATAACAGGTTGTGAGGTGTGTTATTTAGAGGTGAAAAACCAGAATCGGGAGGTCCAGTAGATGAAGAATGAGGATAAAGGAAAGGGTTAAGGAAGGTTCCATGCGAAGGGTTTTGATGGGCATAAACTTCAGATTCCGCAGATGAAGGGTGAGAGAAAGAATAAGAGGAGCTGGAGGGTGAAATAGTGGGGTTAGAGAGGTTTCTGTTGATTGATGTTAAAGGAATTGTTGTTGCAGTTGCAGGAGTACTTGAAGTAGGTTCCACAGGCTTTCTTGAACGGCTTCTGCCTCTGTGCATGTGCCTTTCACAATATTTTGAGTCTGGATATGCTTCCTTTGAGCACCTCCATTTTTTTCCATCCGTTCTTCTGCACCTTCCTGGCTCTGGGTCTGCTTTTCTGCCAAAACCCGCCTGAAAACAACCCCACCCAACTGCAAAAACGCATGGTCCCAACTTTCTTTCTGAACGCTTGCTTTTTTTAAAAAGAAGAAGAAGAAGAAAAAAACATTCAAAGCAATAAGTACTGATCAACTTACTAGGTTGGTGAGGGAAGAGTCTTGATGCCAAAGAAGATCCCAAGCTTCTTTTGACAGAATAGAGGAGTTCTGGCGGGACAGGGACACCAGAGACCATGTATTTGTAAATGAGAGCTTGATGTTCAAGCTCTTGCCACTGAGTAGCAGTGAAAGGAAACCTATTTCTGGAAATTGTTGTATTCAACATATTTGAGTGAAAAATGATTCCCAAAAGAACCAATTAATAGGATTCGCAAGTTGATAATTATAGAGAGACTTTAGAGACAAAAGGAGGGGTTTTTTTTTTTTGTTCTAGCTGGGCTGGTAGTTTTTAAGGGTATTTTCTCAGTCAATTACTTGCAGAATCTTCTTCTGTGAATGAATAGAGAAACTAATGGCTGTGATACACTGATACATAATACTGCTGCCACCTCCTCTCTCCCTGTAGCACTGAGTGAGTCTGCTCTTATAATGACTGCACCTCTGTTGCTTCTGCTGCTACTGCTGTTCTTGTCCCTGACATCGTTGCATAAATCCATAAAAAAATGTACAAACAAAGTACTAAAATCTGAAAACAATTAAATATCGAGCTTTAGGGTTAGCCTTGTACGCATCTTCGGTTTTGCTTTCTCCATATTGTGGAGACATGGAAATGAGTGCCGCGTCCATAAGAGAAGGCATAACGCTTGTGTCATACATACACATCCTGAGACATACGAGAGATTTGAAGTATGCTAGCTAAGGCCAGACTTTAGTTATTGTACAGACCACTAGGTTGGTGGGTTTTTTCATTTTAATTTCCATTTTGTTTTTTTCACGAAGAAACCTTAAAGAAAGTATGTGTGGATACATACGAGCATGTGATTGTGCTGTTTAACTTTTTTGCTCATCAATTACATGTTTATGCACTATTCAGCTCCAAAGCATGTGTCCCAATTAAAGTTCACCAGTATTTGCAACTCAGTTAACTAGCAAAGCCAACGATTGGTTTGGATCATAAATATAAATGAAGTTTAGTAAGTAGTTTCGTAAACTAAATGAATGTAATTATTTGGGTTGCAAAATAGCAGGGGCAGTGGGTGGTGGAGTGAAGATGCCGTAATATTGCAAGGGAGAAACTGTTGGATATAGGGAGGTCTGAACTTGTTTAGCAGAAAGCGAAGGACCCTTTTTTTCTCTTCCATAGGTGGAAGTGATTGGCGGCAGGTGGCAGGGAAGTGCACTGAGGAGGAGGAGGAGGAGGAGGAGCCGAGGTGGGGACAGTTTACTCTTCTGTACAGTACTGTTTCTCTGCCCCAAACACATGCCTGTCCTCCTTTATTTTGCCTCAACAACTCAGCTTTTCATTCATTTACCCAAGTTTTCCAGAATTAGTTTTTCTTTTAACACATCTCTTTCCATTTTGGCTACTCAGTCTTCCTTGTCTACCTTCACTGTGAAGCACATTTTTTGTAGGGTTGCCTGTAAGTAATTTGCAGTCTCGCAAATACAGGTGTAGTGACTGGGAGCCAGGCCTTACTTAGTATGTTACATCCCTGAAAAAAGCAGCATCTTTCTTCAATCTCACAGCACAGTCAAACAAACACCTCTATTCTATTCTACCAAAAAGACAAAAACCACTATTACTGTACTGTCATTTGAAATGTCCCACTTATAGTTTGGTTCCTCTTCGTCTTTCTATACAGTTTTTCAGTGGGTTAGAACCTAAATTATAATTCGAGGAAACTCACCATCTCGATCAATAATTAAAGATCGAGCAACACTAGTTCTTTCTTAAGAATGAGTTCCATGATAAAGTTCTCAATATGGCAGTCAAGCTACATGCTACACGTATGACTTCTCTTCTATCCCAACACCCACAATTCTTTATCAATTATTATGTTTTGGGCTCTTTTGGTTTTTTTTCCTCCCATCGTAGTCTTGTTAATTTGATCCCTCTGCTTTATCAGCCGATCAGATGCTCAATATAACGCCGTAAATGGAGTTGTTTATTGAAAACTAAAAAAATGGGGTTGCCTTGTGATGCTATAATGGCTGCATTTTTAACGTTTATCCGAGAACTGTATTTTATCTTACACTAATTGATCTTGTTCAAGACAGTTTGGCTAAGAGTGGATGGTGGGATGGAATTAAAATCAAAGCTTTAATTCTCTCTTGGATTTGCATCGGCGCGCCATTTACTTCATCAAATTAATGATATGGCTTTTGTTTTTTTAGATAAACTAGTTAACGATATAACTAGAGCTAGTTAGGTAGATCTCTCATTGCTAGTAATAAATTCTGATATTGACATCTTTATTGTTTTATCCTTTTGACGGAATGAGAAGAGAAAACACAGGGAAAGTGTTCATGTTAATATATGCTTTAACTAGTAAAGTTACTTAAAGCTATTTAACTTGATTTTAGTTGATTAACTTATTTTAGAAAAAAATTAATTAATTATAGTTAGATTCAAAGGTGATTAAGATGAATAAATGTAAGGTTGAGATGTTTTAGTTCAATGTTCTAGAGTTATGTATGAAAAAATATAAACAAAGGAAAGAAGTGACAGTGTTTTATCTCTCTCTATTCGTGCTATCTAGTAGAAAATTGCAAACTAGTTTTAATCATTAAACTTGCATTTTGATGTTGTTTTAACCACATACAAGCTAATAATTTAGCCAACAGTAGTGGCAGCGGTATAAATAATGATATTAAAGCTTAGGTCAAAGAAAGATAAGTTCGAAGGTGAAATCAAGTAAAATAAGCTAATATACAAGAGATAGCCAAGGCAAACAACTTAAACTAGAGTTTTATCCAACCTTCTATGCATGCACGAGAAAATCACGAGAAAATTATGAATTTTAAAGTATAAAAATAAAAACTTTGTTCATTTTACTTGATTTATGAAAGGTGATGGAGACTGAATTTTAATAGCTTAAATCAATAGCCAACTTCTTCATAGTATAAGTTAGAGTTTTGAAGGATAGAAGTAGAAATGATGGAGCTTTTAGATTAATTCAAAGAGGGGTAGTTGATCCTATCTTTTCAAAAATCATGTGAGCCATTCAAGTAAAGCAAGCATGATAGATTTTAAAACAGGAATGTAAAGGAGATGTGAAGCTAGGGGTTGTGAAACTACAAGGTCTTATAAAAGAATTTTAAAAATTGAAATTAAAATTGAATGAGAATGAATCAGTTAAAGAGTTTTATGTTAGGTTGATAAAATTTATAAATCAAATGAGAATATCTAATGAAGAAATTCATGATAGAAAAATCATAGATAAAGTTCAAATGAGAAAAAAAAACTTGATATTATTGTTGCTATTGCTATTAAAGAAACTAAGAATTTATCTAAGTTAACCATTTAAGAATTGATGGGTACCTTGAAGTCATTTGATAAAAGACTAGTACAACAATCAAAAAAATATGTAAAGACTTACTTATATCAATAAAAATTAAGAGAAAGAATCTTTAAATGATGGAAAAAAAATTTTGAGTCATGTAAAAGAGGTTGATAAACTAGTAAAGGAAAAGCTAGAAGTGAAAGTTTCAGGGGGAGAGATGGATTTAATTTTGCAAATAGAGAAAACTTTGACAGTAAACTAACCAAAAACAATTTTTTATAAAGTTGTTTTCATTATAATAAGCCAAGATATTTTGTTAGAGTGTGTTGTTAGAAAGGAAGAACTTGGTGTTTCAATTGTAAATAATTTGGTCATATGTCAAAAGATTGTAAAATGAAAGAGAAGTGATAAGCAAGTTATTCAAAAGAGAAAAGAGATAAAAGAAGTTTGTTTTATACATGTTACAGTGCATTCAAAAATAAAAATGATCAATAGTTTATTAATAACATATGCAACAATCATATGAAAGCATATAAAAGCCTTTTTAGCAATCTAGACACTAATATCAAGTCTTGAGTGAAGATTGACAATAGTGATTTGATTAAAAAAAATGGTTTGGGGAATTGAAGTTCAAATAAAAAAAGAAAAATAGGTGATATGTGAAGTTTTGCATGTTCCATAAGGTGATTAGAATCTATTAAATGTTAGATAACTTATTAAGCATATGTATGCATTATATTTTAAAGATTATTATTGCATTATTTATGATAAAACATGTGTCAACACAAGAACTAGCACGAGTTAACATGGTGAATAGGTATCATCCCCTCAACTTAAAGTATATAAATAGTGTGACAATGAACATGAAATGAGAAGGTGACTCATAGCTTTAGCATAGAAGGCTTGATCATTTTAACTCCACCAACTTTAAGTTACTTTAGTAGAAAACTATAGTGCAGGGACTTTTGTTTAATGAAGAGAAAGAGTATTTGTGAAGGTTATGCACTTAGAAGACATCATTGATAACCTTTTTCTAAATGAGTAGTGTAGAGAGCCAAAGAAAAGCTTAAATTGATGCATACAGATATGTGTAGTCCTATGCAAACACTTTCAAATTCACTAAATGTGTATCTTATCCTCTTCATTGATGATTACAGTAAAATGACTTGGGTGTACTTTTTTAGGTAGAAATATAAAGTTTTTGATATATTCAAGAAGTCTAAAGCACTTGTTGAAAAACAAAGTGGTTGTAAGATAAAATGTCTAAAAATGATTGTGGAAAAGAGTATACATTAGGTAAGTTTGACAAGTTTTATATAAAAAAAACAGATAAATAAAGATAACTGACAGTTAGTTATATTCTATAACAAAAATGGGATATCCAAGAGGAAAAATTAAATAGTAATGAAAATGATCAAAAATTAAATAGTGATAAAAATGACCAAATCTATGTTATTTTAGAAGGGTTTTTTACTAACATTTTGGGCTAAAACTATAAATACAATAATTTATTTAATTAATAGATGTCCAATAAAAGCCTTAAACAATTAAACATTATATGAAGCTAGGAGTGTAAGGAGGCCTTTGGTATATTATCTAAAAGTGTTTGGTTGCATACGTTATGCTTAGATTAAATGGAGAAAAGGCATAGGTTAGAATAAACTAGTGTTAAATACATCTTTCTTGGCAATGACTCTAAGTTAAATGGATATACGTTATATAACCCAAAAACAAAGAAAGTTCTTGTTTGCAAATATGTGTTGTTTAATGAAAAATTGTCCCAAGTTAAATTTATTTATTTATTTATTTTAACAATAAATTAGTAATTTTATTATGTAACAAAAATATTAAAATATCTATTTATCCCAATTTAACATGGTAATGCAAATTAAATCTAATGAAAAGATTATTTTATACCTTACTGTGTTATTTCTTTTCTTGTACCATGGAGGGAAAAGATGCATTACACTATAGCAATCTATAATACAATAAGTCTTGTTTCACAATACATCACTAATGCCTCTTAGTTTATATATATATATAGTTTGAGAAGTTTTTTTTTTACTTTTATGCATGAGTTTTTTGGAATGATAAATATTTTTCTTAGTTATTTTTATTTCTTCATTTTTAGTTAAGGAATTTTATTTTGTTTTCTATTTTATTTTTATTTTTCAATATTACTAGGGTTTTCTAGTTTATATATATATATATATATATATATATATAGAAAGAAAGAGAGACACACACACACATCATATAAGAATTGTAATAGCATTTTAGGAAGTGAGATATATA